CTACAAATGATCGTCTTCTTTCATTATTATCATTAGTGGAATTATTATTAAAATATCTTGTGTTTATTTAACTGTATCCTTCGATGACAGTTAACTGTTATCAAGAAAGGGTACTCAATATCAGTCTTCTTATCAAAAAATGGAATATGTTCTTGACTCATGTGAATGTCTATATCAAGTTCATCTTACTTATCGAAATAACTGAATTAATTCTATATCGTTATGATTTATTCCTAAATCTAACGTTAGCAACTGATTGTATATAGCAGAATGCTCTCTTAATTAATTTTCAGTTAATGGGTGTTAGAGTGTTTCGGTACGAAATTTGTCTAACAGAAATTTCCTCTGTGACTCCTCGCGAAAATGTCCTTAACACCTGATTTTTCCGAATGACTCGGCCCATGTTAAAGACAACTCTAGAGGTGTCCCACGCGAGGAAGAACGGTCTTTAAAATTGTCCTTAAGAGACGCCTACAAAATTCTGTAATTTTACAGAAGTGGTAATTTGGCTATTACATAGTTGAGATTCACTGGAATATTAATTGTAATTCGATATTACATTGAATTTTTATGGTATGATCTTTTAAAATGTAAATATAGGTTGTAGTTAAGTGATAACTTAGAATGGTGGCAGCAGTGTAAGTCATAGACAAAAATAGACAAAAGTCTTTCTATAACCTTACAGCACCTGGAGTCTAATGTGTATCGCGTCTCTCATGCCTATTTACTCCACACCAACTAAATCTATAATTGTTGTGGTAAAGCTTATTAAGATATGGTCGAAACGTGAAACGTAAGCCTGGATGGTCGCTTACGGCTTGTTACGTCTTATGTAGATAAGTTTGTTAAGCATGCTGCTATTACTTTATCTGTATTGCTCCCGTCGTGACTTTAAATAATTAAGAAGTCCTTTTTTAAAGTACTTTTTTTTAATGACAAATAATGCTAGACATTTTTGCAACCCATCCATTCCATACGTAATATTCACCCCTTGATTACCTGCTCGTTCTGCAATTTCGCCGAATTTTAGGCCTCCAAAAATCAGTTAAAGCACACGCAGAATATCAGTTTTACTTTTATCTTCCCGATTAAAATCCCTTCACACCCAAATAAACTGGAAATAATGTACGAGGTCAGTGATAATTCAAGAATGCAATTTTGTTTGTTTACATCAAGCGTCACACTTGAGCTACATGCCGAAACCGGAGTTACTGGACGGTGAGTAAAGCGAGCTGGTTACGTCATCCTGCCCTGGCCCAAGATCTGACGTCATAAACAAGACGATCGAGCCAGAATCAAGCCAGCCTCAAAATTTGGCAGAGCAAAAGCGTGGACGAAAAATAATACCACGTCAAAGATTTAAACAGGTGTTGTGGAGAGCAAATGGTACAAGATACAATTAATCTTATTTTCGTATTATTGTAACTTTATTATATTAGGGTATTATATAAGGTTAGGCTTTGAAATAGATTACTTTGTGAAATCTTTGTGAAAATAGAATGTGTGATAAATTTTTTAAAGTTATTGTAAACATATCCATAAAACAAAACAAGTTAAAACAAAAGTAAGAAAAAACAGAGAGAGATAGTTAGAGAGAGAGAGAGAGTTAAAAAAGAGAGAATAAAGAAAATATTTAAAGAGAAATGATAGAAAATGAGGGAGGGAAGGTGGGAGAGAGAGGAGGGCGTAAATGTAAGAGAAGAAAAAAAAAGACAGATACAGACATAGAAAAATGAGCGTAAAAACGTAAGAGAGATTAAAAAAGAGAGAATCAGACAGACAGACAGACACATTGAAGGGGGCTTAAAATATGAGAAGAAAAGAGAGAGAGAAAGAAAGCCTAACATGAAAAGGAATGAGAAAGAGCCTCAAGTGACCTACCGTAACGCTCCTTCTGTCTATCCGAAGTGATGCCCGAATCCAAACAGAAGATGGCTTAAGAAATGGCCAGGCCCACCATAGCCGTGGTGGCCATAGCCATGGCCATACCCATGGTGGCCGTATCCATGGCCGTATCCATGGCCAAAACCGTGGCCAAAACCGTGGCCATACCCGTAGCCATACCCGGGATATCGCCTGTGTGGGTCAGCAGCGGGCAAGGGGCCGGCGACGGCGAGGGGGGCGAGGGCCACGGCGACCACAAGGAGCAGGAGGAGGAGCTTGCGGCTGGCCATCTGGAAAAAGTATCCTGAGGTTATTTTCGAAATTATCTCTTCTTTTTCTTTCCATCCTTGCCTCCGATGGTTCGTTTTTTTCTTTCTTTTCTTTTTCTCTCTCTCGTTCCTTTTTCGTTTTTTTTTTCTTTCTCTGTGAATGTGCTCACGCAATGTGCGTGTGCATGAATGCACTCACACATCACATGCACGCAGTTTACGTGCATGTGATAAATATATATATCTTTTTAACAGCCATTCATTCCACTGCAGGACATAGGCCTCTCTCAATTAACTGTTGAGAGGTTATATGGCAGTGTCACCCTTGCCTGATTGAATGCCCTTCC